AGTCATCGCTACTACAGGTGGTAGTATCTCATGAACTGGTTGGGGTTAGCCTTGTCTCAGCTGCTTATAGTACTCGTAAGCCTTTGGTGGGCCTTACTACCAACCCATTGCCGTATTCGAGCCGAGTGAGGGTTCGAGTACTCTGGGATAATGGTGCTCTGGACTTGAGGCAGTTGAATGATGAGATGAAGGTCGTGATAACAGCAGCTCGACTATATTGACCTCGATTACTGATTCCAGGCTCGGGGGGCAGAGACTTGCGTATCTGGACAAGGAGGGTGGCTCTATGCTAAGCTTGCATCGAGTCTTGGTGATCAGCATCACTCTAGTAGGTCTTTGGACTCTCCGATGGGACGAACCTTAGTTCCAGGAACTGCCGTTTTCTTTCGTGACAATGCTTTGGTCACTTGGTGCACTTCTGTGGAGGAGGATGATGGGCTCACAGCGGTTGCTCAAGGATTTCAGTGTGTTGCTCCGGAGCACTGCGGTATACATGGTGCCCATATTTAGCCGTCCGGAAGTGGAGGACGAGTTGCAGCAGCCGTCAGATCCTACCTGTCATGATCAGGCTCCATCGTCTGCCAGAGGTAGTAACAACTCTATAATGTCATTATGAACTCATGCCATCGTGAACTATGGAGATATGTCGCTTGGAACAGATGATGCAGGTATAAGTGAGGAAGTGATGGCCGTCGTACAGATGGATGTGCGGGCCCCTAACATGGACGACAGAGGCACAACCAAAAGCGTTATGGTGACGCCTCATACTCAGAGGAAGTTGAGTCTTAAGAAAACTCGTCGGCATCTACCGGTAAAGATCGAGAGTAAAGTGGTGGATGGAGTAGGAATGCTTGGCGTTTACAAGTTGTCATGTACGGGATTTAGGTACTATACGTTACTCCACAAGACACTCAACGGTCTAGCGAGCTCTTAGTCGCCTCACTTGCCTTGGCGTCCGCTAGTAGGCTGAATCTAGTCGAGGCCAAGATCGAACGCTTCCTTAAAGTGAGGGATAGTGAGCAATTGTCCTATGGACCATATTTCGTGGTAGGCGAAGCATTCCGAGATGAATGCCTTAGCAGCTAATCTGCGTAGCTGGCATCTCAACTCGATATCAGATGAGATATTCAAGTCGGAGAGAGTCTTGCATACCTTAAGGTAGTGAATCTGTCGCACGTGGCAGCCGCAGCAGCAGGAGGAAGTGTTATCCACTTGTAGATATCAGCTTAATCTAGGAGAGGCTGATCTACTTGATGTCCCTGAGATACTCTGGGAGTTTGACGGGTAGTGGAGGTTCGGGCTGTACCACGTACGCGATATGCAGGTCCGAAAGGCTGTTCGAGCAAGTCGTGAACAACTTCGACCTCAAAAGGCGTATCGGGCTTTTGAACCTCAGACTATCATACCACTCAGATTTTATGGCTGCTTTTGGAGAGCATGTCCGACACAGGTTTGGTTTATTTCCCTTTGATGAGGGTGGCATCCCTATTCTAG